CGACGCAAGGGCGGTTGATGACCAGCCGCATGGCCTCCTCCCACTCCCGGTCGAACCTCTCAACGTACAGCTGGCTGTACTGATACGCGCTGGCCATCTCGCCCCAGACGAGGTACCCCAGCCTGTCCGCCCAGTAGTAGAATAGGGGGTCCTCGACCTTCTGGTGCTTGCGGCACCCGTTGAACCCCATCCGCTTCGCGAGCTCAATGTCCGCCTTGAGGCTCGAGGCGGACGGGGGCGTCATGAACGTCTCGGGCCAGTAGCCCTGGTCGAGGCACAGCGCCTGGAAGTACGGCTTGTCGTTCAGGCGCCAGTGGCCGTCGCCCTTGGTCCAGCCGATGGACCTCATGCCCGTGGTGGTCTTGACCTCGTCCAGCACTCGGCCGGAAGAGTCCAGGAGGCGGATGGTGAGATCGTACAGCTGAGGGTGCTCGGGCGACCACAAGGCGACACCGTCTCTCCATGCAAAGTCGTTCTCCAGCGGAGCGGCGCCGGGTTGAGCACCCGTTACAGCCTGTGGCAAACTCTTCTGCTTCTCCTCTGACAGCCGCACGTCGAGGTCCACGCTGGCATGATCAGCCTCGCGGGGGAGTCGAACAGCTTCCGACTTGGAGACCTGGACCCCCAAGAAGCTTGCCTCCAGCTCGACAGTGAGCTCCTGTCCTGCTCTACGGCCGGCAACGGCAATGGTGCTGTGGATTTTCCCAGAGTGTATATCGTGGGATTGTATAATCGTACCGCCACTCGCATCGGCTATCCGCGCAGCAGGGACAACCTCAAGCCACACATTCTGCCAGATGCCCCCCGACGGCGTGTAGAAGATGCTCTCGGGCTGCGCACCCCAGTACTGCTTCCCACGAGGCTGGGTAAGGTCATAGGCCGAGTCGTACACGCGGACGGTAACCCTGTGAGACGAGGAGGAGGCACCGGCAGCATCGATAGCATCGGTCACGTCGACCTCGAAGGGGACGTGCCCGCCACGATGGCCGCCGACGTGCTGGCCGTTGACCCAGACAGTAGCCAGGTAGTCGACGGCACCGAACCTCAGGATCAAGCGGTGGCCTTTACCTTTTTCCTCGTCGGACCGCAGATCAGAGATGGTGCGCTCGTACCAGAGCACCTCGTGGACATTGCGGTCGTTGATACCCGATGCCGGGCTCTGGAAGACGAAGGGGACGATGATCTGCTGCTTCTTGTTGAGTTTCTGGTCGTCGCTCCCGGCCTTGGAGAGCAGGTTGTCCTTGATGAGATCCTGTGTGCCGGAGGCGATCTTCTGCGTGATGCTGTCGCTCTCCTGAGTACTGCCCTGTGGGCTTGGGGTAGCTGAGGCCGAGGTCTCGTTAGGGAGGCCCGATTGCTGCCAGAGATTGGAAAGTCCACTATCGTCATCGTCGAAGATGAAGTCCCAGGGACCGTTGAGCGATTGCCATCGTAGGGGGCTGCGCTCAAAGTCCGGGCGAGGGTAGATGTGTGTCTCGGGAGTTGCCATGATGGATGGTCAAGGTATTTGTATAGTCAATGAACAGTGAGTGGTTGATCCAATTGTCAATTTACTTGAAAGTAGGAAATATCGACACTGAAATATCTCCAGAAATAATATAATCGCGATGTGAAAAGAACAATACGGTATTCTCTACCTGTCAGTGGTATTAATAGCACATGCCAAAATGGGCGAGACAGAAATGAGGGGCAGGGGCAATGTGTCGATGCTTCTAACTTCCCCTCATCTCCTCTTGGGATTGTCGCTGCGGTGACTCAATTAGGCCAAATCCTCTCTAAGAAATGGGCATATCAAACCTGACTGGCCAAGCAAGACTATGAAATCCACCAGTTTGCCAGCATCCCCTGCCAAGAAGGATGATGAATGCGAGCGCCATGCAAAAGGAGCAAACCAAGCCAAATGTCTTATATTCGTATCATCGTCAGGAGTCGAGAGTTCATTTTGCCTTGTTTCCTTCCGGAGACACCCCTTGATTCTTGCGCGTAGACGCTTTCTCTAGCTAGACATGATTCAGAAGATGGTCATAATATACATTAATTCAACAGCCTCCCACGCTGAAGTGGGAGTTCCGGCCGAAACAGGCCGTTATAGATTTCAAGTCGTACATTAAGTCGGCAAAGCAGACTGGCTCATCGCTCATCACAATGCTCATGAGAAGCGTCCCAAAAGGCCATAAATCATACACATCAACTACTCCTCTACCCCTCCAGGAACAACATTCCTCGCTCTCTATTCAGGCTTCTCGTCACTCTTCTCTTCATTATCATTGCTTCGTGGGCCGTCAAGATTCGGCATCGTCTTCTGCTCATGTCCAAGAGCCACTGTAAAATAGTTAGCAAGGCAACCAGAACAGCCAGGCTTGCTACTCACGCCGATCAAACAGATAGTAGCTGGTCACCAGCAAAATGGGCATCGCAATGATGCCCGTCGTCCACTTCCACGCCAGACTATTATACTCCTTCTTGTATTGCTTCTTTGCGTTCTCTTTCTTGGCCTCCTCCGCCTGCCGCTCCTCCCTCCGCGCGCGGGCCGCCAGAAGCTGTGCCTCTCTCGCAGCGGCTAGTTTCTCTGCTGCCGGCTGCGCCTTCGGTACAGGGGTAGGTTTGGGAGGAGGGGTAGCCGGAGATGGGGATGTCGGCGCAGACTTGACTGTCTTCTTGGGAGGGGTCGGAGCGGCAGCCGGCTTAGAGGGGGCGGAGGAAGGCTTGATGTTCGAGACTGGTTTGGGAGCAGCAGCAGGGCTCTTGGGAGGTGCGGCAGGCTTCTTCTGCGGTGCTGAGGCGTACACTGGTGCTGGCCTCGTTTGCTGCGTGGGTATTGGCTTCGCTTGCTGTGCTGCTGGGCTTGAGGTCGTGGTCGTGGTGGAGGGTTTCGGAGCGTAGACCGACTTCGAAGGAACTAATTTAGGCCTGGACTGTGTAGAATACGTCGATGCTGGCTTCGCAGGGATTGGCTTGGGGACAACTTTTTGTTGCGCCGAGGGAGCAATCGGGGGCTTCGAGACTGGTGTTTTGCTGGCCGCCGTCGGCGTGGTGGGCGCCGGTGTGGTTTTCTTCAGAGGCGGAGAGGCATAGACCGGCCTTTTTGGCGCTACTGTAGCTTTCGCAGCAGGTTTGGCGATAGTGTTTGAGACTGGCTTTGCTTTGGAAGCTGCCGTCGGTGTAGGTTTTGCGGCGGGCGAGGGCTTTGCAGTCGCGTAGGCTCGAGTGGCCTGGCACCCTCGCAGGAGGGCCGATCGCGATGAGGAGGCCAGGGTCATGATGGCGGGCTGGAGGCGGTGTTTCGTGTGTGAAAATTCGACAGTGTAGGCTGAATGAATACAAAAAGAGAGAAATGTGCTTCCTATTGACGTGCCGGAGGATGGCGAGGCTCAATGGGCGGTCGCATTTCCAGCAGCGGCGTTCAAATTACCCGAGTTCATGCAAAAAAGTTGGTGGGCTGCCCTCATGTGTCATAAGGCAGCGCTAGTTCGTCTCCAGGAACTGGAACCGCGCTTTAATTTAATGCATGGATCCCTGTTCACGCCAAAAACACGCTATAATTGATTAACTCCACCAACGGTGACACAGCGGTGATGTCTCCAGGGACGAACTCCCATCGATGCTACCCTGCACCCAAAGGGACTGGAGTCACTCAATCAATATCACCGAACCTCTTCGAGCCCCAAAACATCTAAAAGTGAGAGCTTATAATAAATGATGCTTATTATTCTCACCCGAGTTGAAGTTCATCTAATTCCATATGTCTTCTTACATAGCGTAGCACGCGTCCTAACTCCACGAATGGCACACATTACCAGGAGCATTTTGGCGGTCCTAAGCAACAATCACACAGCCAGTATCAAGTTCAGGTAAGCGAATAGTCAATTGATCCTCAATTCATGAGACGCTGGTAAGTAGGGCCCTCTCTAGGGCAAACTAACTAACCCAATGATTATTTTGATTTGATCCTTATACAGTTAAGCGGTAGTGATAACAGTGCACCAATTCCCAAAACGCCGTCGCGAGATTTATAAGAACTACACTTTCAAGCCATCGCCAAGATGCTTGATTCCATTCCACCTCTCTCAATCGTCATCATCCGTGTACCTAGGTCCGGCTGCAGGCGTCTCTGGAGCTCCGCCGTAGGCACCTGGCGTGGGCGCTCCGTAGTAGCCTCCCGAGGCGGCGGGAGTGGGAGCACTGGCGCCAGGAGTAGGGGCGGCGTCGGCACCCCATCCTCCCTGCCAGCCGCTAGCCGCAGGCGTAGGAGCTCCGCCAGGTGTAGGTGCCGAGTAGGCGCCTGGGGTGGGTGCGTTCATCGCACCGGGTGTAGGGGCTGCAAGGCCGCCTCCTGGTGTTGGCGCGTCGAATGCGCCCGATGTCGCTCCAGGCGTGTAGCTCCAGCTGTCGTTGTTGCTGGCACCAGGTGTCGGTGCCGAGACGCCCCAAGCTGGAGTCTTGGAGCCAGATGAGAAAGCATCTGTTCCAGAGCTGCCTGCGTAGGCGGGGGTTCGGGAACCTGCACCGAAAGCGTCACCATACGCAGGTGTCTTGGCACCCGACTGCCACGCGGGAGTGCGAGAGCCTGAGCCATAAGCAGTGCGGCTACCATCATATGGGTTGACCGTGCGGGAGCCATCAGCCCAAGCAGGCGTGCGAGAACCAGAGTAGTCTCCGCCCTTCCAAGCTGGGGTACGACCTCCAGCGCCACCGGCGGGTGCTATAGTCATTCAGTTAGCAAATACTTGTTCTTGAAAAGAAGTAGGAAATATGGAAGACATACTGCGTGAACCCCAGGCAGGGACTCTGTCCCCGCCGGATCCCATGGGTGTGCGAGAGCCAGTTTGCCAACCAGGGACACGCTCTCCGCCGCCAGAGCCGCGGCCGAAGCCACCACCAGGGCCACCACGACCGCGACCGTTAATCTCGATGGGGGCGCCCGTCTTCTTGTCCCTGAAACTGAGCGAGTCCTTTGGAACAGTAATAGTCTTGGACTTTGTATGCAGCTCGACACGAGCATGGGTATCTGTGGTGTCCTTCACGATACCAAGGAGACCTTTGTATGCTCCCTTCTTGACAATAACGGTCTGCTCTATGGCTCTGTCGCGACCGAACTTCTGAGGCTGCGGGGGCTTGTTCTCGGCGCCATTCTTGTGGAGCTTCAGAGCTGGGTTCATGGCATTGAGATCGGGGGTGGAGGATGCAGCGTTGACTCGGCCACCCTTGGCAGCGATGGTGTTGACCATGCTAGCCTTGGTAACGAACACACCGGCGTTCTCAGTGCTGTCATTGGTATGCAGGAAGACGTATGAGCGGTGGATGTGGATGATTTTTCCTTGTCGTTGCTGGCCCGTGGCCTCTTTGACAACATCGTCCAATCTGATTTCGGAACCACTGCGGTCAGCAGCAACAGCTTGCTTTCGCTTCGGCAGCTTGTTGGGGATCTGTGAAGGAACGACCTGGCGAGTATCTCCAAACTGGTCCAACACAACCAAAGATTCACGGTCCACCTTGACGATACAACCCACGGTGGTAGGGTCGAGCTGTACCAGATCTTGCAACTCGAACTGCCCGAGAGAGCCCTGCCCACCGATATCACTAGCCTCACGCAAGTCCTTGCTGAAGACAGTGACTTCAGTGTTGGTCTGATCCGTAAGGAGAGTCACACGATCCTCGGAAATCTTGACCACGGTACCGACCTCGTCACGGAACTTGCTGCCACCAATGACCTTGACGTGGTCACCAATTCGAAAGCGCTTCCGCAGTCCCTTCGTAGGCACTTCGATGGTTTGTCCAGCAAGGTCGCCCTCAGTCACCGACATCGTGACGATATCGCCCTGTACGTTCGTTGCCTTGCCTACGACACCTTTTTGCTCTCCAGAGTACACTTCAATAATGTCACCAGGGAGGTAGGTAACCATCTTGTTGCTGTCCTTCAAACTTGCCGCCAGGGCCTTGAGGTCAAGGTTCTCAGTACCATCTTCTGCTCCGGATGCGAATCGCGTAACTTCTTCGAGCGACGGGTTTACCTCTGTCACCACGAGCTGTTGGATCTTGACATCCTTGACACAGAATCCGTTTTCGAATTCATCGCCCATGAATGACCATGTGTTGGTTGAAGGGTTTCCTTGGAGGAAGCGTGGCTGGTGCTTGCGAGCCTCAACCTCGCTGAATAGTCTCTGGGGGGGTTTGGGCCCAGTGCCGGGGAAGCGCTTCCTCTTCCCATCAGCCCCAGCAGTCAGGGAATCGTCTCTCACACCGTAATCCAGACGGGGGATATAGCGGACTCGTGCCTCCAGCCCGTTCTCGGTAACGTCGATAACTTGTGCAAGGTCACCGTTGTACTTGAAGGGTCGGCGAAGGCGCACCCAGGCACCAGGCTCCAAGCTCGAGTCCTTGGTAACGCGGAAGAGTTCAGGCATGTCCTTGATCTCGACTAGGACCATCTTGGAACGCGGGTACACGTTGAGCATGCCGTCGAGGGCCTTCATGATATCGTTCTGGCGCTGGGCTTCCACGTAGATGAAGCCCTTCATGACGGACTGCGCACCACCTCGCTCGAACGCGGCAGTAATGGCAAGTTCGTCTCTCGTGCCCTGGCGCTCCTCGATTCTCTTCATGATGGAGAAGACGACCTCACGCTCCTTGCCTTCCTTGCACCGGACTCCCCAGATGCTCGGGTCATCCACGCTAGGGAGCAGGAGACGCTTGGGGACAACGGCCGAATCGCCGAGACCCTTAGTCGGGCGGCGGTTTCCGTAGCGCTGGCGAAGGATCTCGGCCTGCTTCTCGGCATCGAGACTCGATTCCATCTGTCTCTGACGGTCGAGCTCGCGATGTCGTCGGTCGTCGTCAAAGCGGTTCGTGTCAGCGACATCATCAGGATGGGCGTTGTCGATGAAGCCCTCTATTTCTTCGCCGTCTCGTTCCTCATCCTCGCCTTCGTCTTCGTCATCGACTTCGGCTTCGATATCGAAGAGAGCAGTTCGGCGGTCTCGCTGGCGCTTCTTGGGACGACGCTGGGATCGGTGTCAGCCAAAGCGAATTGCTTCGCCGTCACGTACGAGGTATGGCAACTTACCGTCTGGACGTCATCCTCATCGTCTTCGTCTTCATCATCCTCATTTTCTTCGTCATCCTCCTCATCTTCGTCTCTCTCCTCGTCATCGTCCTGTTCGTTGTCCTCGTCCTCGTCCATGACGCGCCGCGTTTTGGCTCGAGGGGCGGAATCCTCATCTCCATCATCATCACCGGGGGAGCTCTGGTCTCGTGGTCGCTTCTCCTGCCTGGTATTGGTGTCCTCATCGTCTGACAGATCGGCAGGCGCTGGGTTGAAGTCCTCCTCTTCCTCCGAGTCGTCGAAGCGCGCTGCATCGTAGGACGCCATCTTCGCTTCGTGTCTGGCGCGAAATCAATCCGAGCGCGGCGGGGCGTGCGCTAGGAGTCGCGCAAGAGGAGGGGAGCCGGAAAGATTGAAGGAAAGAGTTGAGGAAGTAAACCGGTTGATGTTCGATCTTTGTTTTAAGCTGCCACGCTTCACCCAAAAGTTTCCCGTCAGATGCATAATCTTTAAGCTCCTGCGCAGCGGGAAATCATCGGCAAATTGGGAGTTGTGCACTTAGGGAGGTTATGCAAGTTAGCGTTCGGCCCATTGAATCTTCCGAGTTTAGCTCCAAAACCACAACCAAGTAACAAAGCTATGTCATCGCCTCTAGGCCTGCAAGTTTAGGTCCTTTGCTCAATTGCTACTTGCTGGAGAGCAGCGGGAGAACGATAACCGTGCATGTAAGTCGAGCTGCCGAGGACATGATGTAGCATCAACCTTGGCTCAAGTTCCTACTCTAGCTTCAGATCATCCTTTTCTCTCCCATAAATTAGAATCGTCTTCTACATAATAAAATGAAACTTGCTTCACCATTAGTTTGAAGTCTATTTCCTTGGACTGTAATTTACCTAAATTACAATGAAAGCGGTTCGTATCGAACAGTTCGGGGAATTACAGCAACTGCGAGTATCCACCATCCCGAGGCCTATTCCAGCACACGATGAGGTTCTCATCAGAGTCATGGCCGCGGGCGTCAACTATGTGGATGCACTCTACGTATTTCCCCCAATTAATCCATTCCTCATTTCCGAGGTATAACCAACTAATCATGCCTCTGTTGATACATTGACAGGTCCAAGGCAAGCACCAGAACAATCGCAGCCTGGTCCGCCCCCCATTTACACTAGGTCTCGAGTTCTCAGGCATCATCACATCATGCCCCCCAAACTACCATCTCCAGCCCGGCGATAGAGTCTTCGGGGCCTCCCTGGGCTCATACGCCGAGTACATCAATGTGCCGGCATCCACCAACCTCGAGAAACTCCCTTCGTCCTGGTCCTTCGCCGACGCTGCTGGTCTGGGCGCCACCCTACCTGTATCCTATGGCGCTCTGATGCTTCGAGCCGGCTTGAAGCGAGGGGAGACCGTTCTCGTTCACTCTGCCGCCGGGGGCCTCGGCATCATGGCCGTGCAGATCGCAGCCGCCCTGGGCTGCCGGGTGATTGGCACCGCAGGCTCAGACGAGAAGTGTTCGTACGCGAAGAAGCACGGCGCGAGCTTCTGTCTGAACTACACCACCGACCCTAACTGGCCGAGCAAAGTTCTGGAGCTCACGGAGGGCGCTGGGGTAGATGTGGTGTTTGACCCCGTGGGCCTCGTGGACCTCAGCCTGAAGTGCATTGCTCACAAGGGCAGGGTTCTGATTGTCGGATTTGCCGGGAGAGGTGGACAGATGGAGAATATTGCGATGAATAGGGTGCTTCTGAAGCAGGTGAACTTGATTGGATATGTAAGTCTCCCCGTTGCGGCTACTGATTGAGTGATCTCAACTTATTCGGGCTATGCTTCTCTAGCGCTATGGCGAAAGCTTGCGTCGATACCCGGAAGAAAACCGTCGCATATGGGACGAACTGAAGCCAATGATCGAGGGAGGGAAAATTGAGCCAACAGTTTCGCAACTGTATGAAGGCCTGGAAAGTGTACCAAATGCGCTGAGCGACCTGTTGGAGCGGAAGACGTTGGCGAAGGCTGTGGTGAAGGTCGCAACGGATGATGCTGAGATGCCATCATCAAAGCTGTAGCGCCCCGAGCGGATTGGTAAATAACAAGGCAGCATCTAATAAACGACTTTGGATATCATTCATCAATAGTGTTTTGGGGTCTTATGGTTCTACAAGTCAAATGTTGAGCCCCCAGCTTTCTCAGCGAGGTAGCACGCAATGAATCATATCGACAATTTCGGCATCAGTTTTATGGAGGTATCTGTCTATTTAATCATTCATTACACGTCGTGTTCGCAAAGCCTTCCCCACGTCCTATCGACGGGGGCTGGACTTCGTCCTCTAACGATCCCCTCGTCTTCCCGGCTTTGCCCTCGGCACAGAAGCTCTTGTTGAACCTCTCTCAGCTTGCCTATCACTAGGTATGAATTCTCGGCCATGGCTATAGCGTTGAGCGACTCGTCACCACAATTTGAATCATCCAAATACCAGAAAAAAAAAATCAAACCCGAACTTTTAGGAGCTTGCTGTGACTGACCAACCCTTCAAGTGTCGGGTTTTCCGCAACGAACAAATTCCATCTCGGAAAGGCCGTTTCTATAATATGCGACGGTATAACTTCATAAACAAAGGCTCATGCTTGCCAATGGGTATACATATAATCTGCCAGAACATCCTGCTGAGAACTGCGCTTCATTCACATGATCCGGGTGCCCCAGATACCACGCCCGGCACTGACTCCCAGCCAGTCGCCATATTCGCCGTTTGGCATGTGAGGTAGCCAACCCAGGTTTCCAATCTCGTAATCGCACTCCCAGCTGGCAACGGGGCTTCTGCTGCTCTCATTGCCAGGGTTCCCGTTAAGAGAGGGTCCGGATGAAGAGCTCGAGTTGATCAAATCCCATAACAGCACCTGGCAGTCGTCGGCTCCGGAGGCGAGCATGCCTCTGCGCAAGGGCGACCATTCAAGGCAGTTCAATGGACCTGAATGTCCTCGGAGTTCCAGAAGAGCCTGCCCGGGCTGTCGAACATCGAGAATGCGGATGGTGCTTGAATCCTGGGCGAAAGTAGCGAGAAGCTGGGTGTCGTGAGGAGAGGTTGCGAGTCGCAGCAGCGGAGGAGGGTTTCCTGCCGCACCCTGTCCTCCTGGGCTCGTTCGGCCGCTGTTGGTATCCACTGGAAGCATATGTTAGTATCTTGGACTGTAGGGAATAGATAACTGCCGTGCGGTTGAACAAACCTCTATCGTCCTTGCCGGTTGGCTCGTAGATGATGGTCGAATGCTCCAGACTACGGAGATCAAACATTCGAACGCTACCGTCCTGCCCACAGCTGACAAATACATCCACACTGTTTGCGCAGAAACGCACGTCATACACTTCCTTGTCATGGGCGATCAATTGCGTCTTGGCAGTCAAGGAAGGAATATCCCAGATTGTGCAAGTTGTATCGATGCTGGAAGTAATGATGAGACTGGGAGAAACCGTATTCCAATCGAGAGAAGTCAGAGGAGCGGTATGATCGGGCGTCTTGGAGTTCGACAAAAGGGCCAGAGGTGTCAATTTGGCGGTGGCTGGGTCGGTTCTCCGAGTGATGTTGTTTCCAGGCGTCGCTGGGGTTTCGGAGGGCAGTGACCACAATCGCAGATGATCGCCAGACGTCGCGAGCAAGTCGGTCGATTGCTTCTGAGCTGAAGGTGGTTCCCAGAGGAGTCTGGTAACGGGGTATGAATGGGTAGCTTCGGCGACCTTGTTGAACTCTAGAGAATACTTGGAAGTGCCAGGAACGTAGACATCCTGGGGTGTTGGAACGACATGGCTATCCAGAATTTGGATCTTTAGGACGAGAAATTGTTAGATAATGAGACGTTTCTTTGGAGTGGGAAATGAGGGGAGAGCTTACAAAGTTGTGGCCATCCTCTAGATAGCTTCCAATGGCCAGCTTGCCGGAGCCATTTCCGTGGGGGCGCCACTTGCACCAATCGAAGGCATAGATAGGCCATGGGGCGAGATAACTGCTGCTACCGGGCTGCGCTTCAGCCATGTTGTAGCCCAGAGTACCCGGGCCGCCATCAGACATGCTGGAATCAGCGCGAGGCCGGATGTCGGCTAGACCAAGCGGGGTGTTGGAGACATTTCGCGAGGAGCTGGATTGGCCGTACTTGGAGGTGTCGGTGGGCGACATGAATTGGGATGACGGGATGCCGCTGCCGCCTGGAGTCGTGGGAGTGTAGGGATGGTAGCTCACATTCTCGTAGCTTGCGGCGGGGCTGGAGCGGGAGTAGGCGTGGGACATGCTGAGCGTTGGCTTGGACGGGGTCTGGTAGTTTTGGGGAGAGGGCTGAGGACGATCAGTCTGCAGCGACGACGACGAGGACGTGTTGATGGAGACGGGCGGTCGCGTCGACAGGCCACCCGCAGGCTGCAGGACGTCGGGGACGGAGCTAGGCTGGTATTGGGATTGGGAATGGGAGCGGGCGTGGGTGAGAGATGGCGGTTGCGAGCGAGCTGAGGCGGTCGACGGGGCCTGGTCAAGCTTGATCTGCGGCGCGTAATCCTGGGGAGACATGTGCAGCTCTGAGCTCATGCCGGACATGTGTAATTCGTCGGAGCCAGCAGCGGGTGGTGGTTGGGCTGCTGAGACCACGGCGGGAGGTGCAGCAGAAGTGTAATCATTGTGGTAAGGCCCCGACGTCGAGCCCACCTTTGAGCCAGATCCAGAGGGATTATGCCGTCGCGGGGCAAAGGGCAGCGGTGATTGGTCCATGGCTGGTCTGGGGGGGCGCACCTGGGCTGGTGCAAGGTTGAATGGAGTCGAATGGCGGCGGCACAGGGTTTTGGTGGCTGCTGCTTGGCTTGGGCCTGGGCAGAGGCGTTTACCTTGTGTCTGGGCGAGCTTGCGCGAACTTTGTCTCAAGTAGCCTGTCGCGCAGCGCAGTGCTTAGAGTCTATATGCGAGCTGACACTGGCCGCAGCGCTGGATGGAGCTCTTCCTGACGGAGTTCGCGCCCAACCTTGCCATGCCACATGCGCTGGGAGGAGTCGAGGGTTTGTTGGAGTCCGGCGAGTTCAGGAGCCCTGTGCGTGTGCCAGTGAACAAAATCTGTCGCTGTCTGGAGAGGCGGTTTTATGAATGTCGGTAGATAGATAATGGTACTTTCTGGAACGTAGGTACGAAGCTAGCTCTGGTCAGCACCCTATGCAATAATTGCCCGTCGAAATATGACAGAGCTGGTCTGCTGTAAGTGACTGATCCGAGCAAGGACTCGACCTGCCTGACCACACACGAGA